CGAGTGCAATGTTTGGGACTGGCTGGTGAAGTATACATCTGTACCTGTCGAGGTGGGGTAGAAACCTGCACCGCTAATAGCATGACGACGACTACTGCAGCTAAATATAGACGCTTACACATTGCCCCTATTCCCTCCCATCCCCCTTCCCCTTAAGCGCCGCGAAATTTGTTCGATGAGCGAATTATTAATTATCAACAACAATGGGCAGAGCAGAGCCAAAGAAAAACAATTTCATTTTGTGTATTGTATCTTCTTGTGCCATCGCATCCATCGAAGAGCTGGAGAACAATGAAAATACGTAAGCAACAGCCGAAATATCGGAATATCCATTGCCACTGTCTTTATTTGGCTTACAATTCTTAATAAACATATTATGGCATAAACAGGGAAATGTTTTTCTGCCAAATACATAAGTACTACGTCTGTATTTTCAAGCGATGCGCAAATGATCCCAGCGATCCCAGCACTTGCGTCTTTATTAGCAAGTGCCACCAAGGGGCACGACTGCTGTCAGAGCAGGCATGTCCTCGAAATGCTCAACCAGCCAAAATGATATTCCATTCTGCTTAGCCTAATGCTAATTAGGGGATTCACCATTAACTAAATTACTATTGCCCAGGTCTGGAATGGCTGACTAAGTGCCTTCCGTTTAGGGCTAAGAAAAAATCAAGTGCTGGCCAGCATATTTCGAATTTCCAGCTAAATGGTCCGTGAGAATATGGTGTGAATTATGCCTGCTCTGCCTGTGCTTGGCGCCCGATTATCAGAAATGTACATAAATATCCTTGAGTTAGCCGTGAATATTCCGTAGCCAAATGCCAGGCCATTAAACAATGACGTGGGCCGGAATTGTTTGCTAACGCTTTAAAATTACCAGCTGGAATAAGCTGATAAAAATAGACTAATTGCTGGTTCGATCGGCTAATCTATGCGATTAGTTGATACGCGTCTAGCCGAATAAAAATCAGAATCAGGGTATGATTTAAAAACCTCGAGTCGTAAATTGTAATTGTAAACAATAGAAATGGGAAATAAATTGTCCATCAGATGGGGTGTGGTAGGATAGTAGAGGAAAAGTGAGGTGGGTTTGGCTTGATGCTGGGGCTGTGACTGTGGCTGTGGCTGTGGCTGGGGCTACACCCGGAACAGAAACAGAAACCGAAACTGATCAATAAATTGGCTCTCAAGCAGCCGGCAATAATAAACCAATTGTCAAACTGTCAAATTCCAAGCACTTTGTCTGCACTCGCATAAATAAAATGCTGTGAGCGAATCGGCAGTCCGACACCGACACCTCTGTCTTCGCACATCAACGTATGTGTATACATTTTTTTCTTTTGATATTAAAATTAATAAAATAATTCGCTTTCAATGTCAGACAATCGTACAAAAAGCTCAAGTATTTCAATTGCATATAGCCAAACAGAAAGAAGAGACGAAGCGCCTTGCACTTGAAGTCCAACACAATTGAAGTGTAATTGAAACGAATCGACAATTTGAAATATTAAACACAAATATGCCAAAAAAAAACAACAAAAAACTTCTTTATTGCCCGCTGACCCGCTCAGCTACCCTTCTTCATACAAGCATGTTTTTGTCTTGTTTGTGGCTGCCGACTCTCACAAAATTGTCCAAATTACAAGCTGAAATTAATTCAATTGGGTTTGTGGTCACACTTCCAGTCAGTCGATCGGTCAGTCAGTCAGTCAGTCAGTCAGTCAATCAGGGAGTGACGAGCCAATTCGATTTCGTCATAACCTGACCAGCACCAACCGCATCATCCCCCTTAGAACCCACAGCCGATGCGTATATGGCGTGCCAAATGGAGGAGCCTCAACCTTGAAAACACATTGATTCAACGCCCAGCCAAAGTTCACGATTGTCTGCACTCGCAGATCCTAAATGCCAGGGGAATTGGGCCGCGAGAAATATTTCGCATACCTAAACGAAATTTCCGTGTAATAGTGAAAATTTTCTATCAATGCCAAGTGGAATTCTCAGGAAAAATGCCGAAAAGTGCATCCAATCAACAAGCACAAGGTTACCAATTTAGTTAGTGGAGATGGAGGGACCCCGACAATCAAGGAGACGAATGAAATGGGTTCTTGTTTATAATTCCGTAATGGTTTAATCAGCAAGTTCAAGATCCCCATTTGCATTCGCGTTTAAACAAAGACAAATACGTTAAAAGAATCAAGCAAATAAATAAACTTTTTTAATAATTATCCACAGGAAATATTGCCTTGCAAAATCCCAATGAAATGTAGGAGCGTAATTTCGGTTCTGTTTACCATGAAATTAATTCGATTCGGAAACGACGAACGATATTAATTTTTGGTAAATTATGATTCCCGACGGATGGGCCTAACGAAATCCGATAAAACGAAAATTTGCCTGTTTATTCCGAATCCGAAGATTGCCGTTCGATGACGGGGACTTGATTGATATTCCATTCGCAACTTCATAGACAATAAACTGGCATTCATTGGGTAGTCTAGCGGTTTATGCGAAAACTTTCCAAGTTCCCTAAATCGCTCCCCTCCACCAACCCCATACAATGAGGCCCACACCTCCACCAGTTATCAGCAGGGGTGTGGTGTGACGAAACAATGAATCTGTCCCAAAAATTGAACAATGTAAAATCGGTTGATAACATCTGTGATAAGGAAGCTACATTGGTTTGGGTCTGTGCTTGAACTACTTTCGTGCGCCCAGTGTCCCTGCCCCGATGCGACTGGGGCTTGGTCTGCTCTGCCTTCCGGATCGGAGTGTTTGCTGCGGTACTGACTGGCCGATTTATACGTATTGTGGCGCATGACTTAAATACTTCGGAATGCCAGTGCGTACGGCCAGAATACCAATAAAACGCTTTTGGCCACAAACACAAACAGTACAGCACACATAATGCTAATCAGGGAGGCAATTAAATAGTGGCATAATTATGTATAAATGTCCGCTAATTGATTGGCCAGTTAATGTCAGGCATCGGCGATGATAAGCCAGGCATCTCATTCACTTCATCAACTGACGCCTTAATGACTTCATTGAACGACGAACTCATGGAACAGATTGCGATCAACGTGTCACGTTCAATTGTATTGCAATCCAAATGGAATGGGTCTCGTCACATCGTCACATCACTCGTACATCGTAGTTGTCGTGTCAACAATTAATACCGAAAATCAGTATGCGTTCGAGTATGTGTGTCGAACGAATATTCATGGATTCGATTAGTCATCCAATTGCAATGAACCTGAGATAATCACCTCTAACGTCCTATCTCATCCATTCCGGAATAAATAAATAAATAAGATAAGACAAGTTTAGCGTGGAGAAAGGGGAATTACTTAATAGAAAACATGACTCTCCTGCTTTCGGGGCATTTACTCGACGTGGTTTCCATCAATATCAATCTCTCCCTGGCTGGCATTAGGCCTTTGTCCGCATTCGGCAAGAGATCGTAATTCGGCTGGGGCCGGACAGAAATCGCTCATAAAACCGGAGTTTAATGTCATGCAAATCATGTTTCGAGGCGACAGAGCGACTTAATGTCGGCTGATAGCTTTATTTCACACATTGTAGTCTGATTTGTTCCCCCATTCAGAGGCGGGCCATTCAGTCTTTGCTTTTTAATTATCTCAGCTAATTTTTTTGGCCTATTTCTTGTAGGGCTTGCTTATCCGGCGAACTCTGGATCAACGACGTGATTCACTCCATCTCTATTATTCTCGATATTAAAAGCAAATAATTTTCGATTATGACTCACGGTCAATGGGGGGTGACACTTGGGAATTTAACTTCCTGTTGGCATTTGGAATTCTTTGGTGAAACTCGGATTCTCCGGCGATTCATTCACCGTATTCGTATTCATTCAGACACTCCGAGTCGAGGGCTCATCGGTAAACAAATAGCTTCTGACGGTATTGCATTGTTTGTTTCGCTTCGTATCGCTTTCAGCGGCGTCATGAGCGATAGCCGCCCCCAATGGATAATCGCCAATCGATGAGGAAACTCGGCTAACCGAAGGGAATTGTGCTGGGGGCGTTTGAAATTCGCAATTGCGAATCTCTGGATGAGTGTAATGCGAAAAGCAGAAGCCAGTGAAATGGCAGACAGATTAGCGATGATCACATACCCAGCAAATGGGCCAGAGATATCATATCTATATGTAAATCAGTGCAGCTGGCTCTAAGTGGTTGACAGTATAGTGTATCAATTTCACACCAACTGACAAAATCGATTTAATTCGATTTATTTTTTGACGGCCTTGAACCCGAATTGCATCCAATTAGCACGAGTCTTATCAATTTCGGGACTAGATAACAGCAAGCCAAGCGAAGTGAACAAACAGGCGAAAACCAACTGCGCACAATAATTAGCTAAGGAATTTGCACATATGTACGTTTGGCTCTAATGATCTCTGACCTTATAGGTGGGTTGGCATATCATATCCGTGGCCAGCAGCGAGGGGAATACTAAGCACACACCCACACACGACACAGAGTAACAGAGGCTACTGTCTCTCCTTCTCTCCTCTCCCCCTGTCACTCCCTCTCTCTCTCTCTCTCCGCTTTCATGGTGCCGCCAGCTGCCAAATTCGGGCAAACATTTTGCCCCCCAAAATACCTTGACGCGTCCACTGTTAACTTAACAGTAACAGTAACAGCACTCTCTCCCTCTCTCGCAGTGCTTCGCTTTGGGGCCATCTCTCTCGCAGCCTCCACCTACGCCAACGCGGCCAAAGTGTATTAAAACAAGGTGAGGCACTCCCAGCTAGTCGCATATATTATTTCAGTATGCTTTTTTGGTGTGTGAATGCGATCGGCGGGAATTCCTCACCTTGTATCAGCTCAGCTTGCGCAAGACCAGCACTCGAGCGCTGAGCAGCGCTGCCGGCAGCAACAATAACAGAAGCAGCAGCCCCAACAGCCCCAGCAGCAGCAGCAGCTACGTTTGGTGGTGGCCAATAATTCTAACTGAAATCAGTCAGCAGCGAGCCGCGATCAGAGTCAGAACAACGCGATAAGGAAATACGAATTATACCCAAAACAGTTACGATTGTTCGGTTTCGATTATTGGCCCCAAAGTGTGCGAGTTTTATTCAAATTGTGCAGAGTTTTCAAAAAAATGTTAGTATGAGTACGGAAAATAATCCCAATTTATTAGCCAAACAAACAGAAAACGCTGTGTAAAGCCATATGTGGAATCGGATATGCAGGAAATTGACCACGACAGTCAGTCAATATTTGTGAACTCACAGGGAATTAATACATACATATTGAAGATGATATAAGAAGAGGGTCTCCTCTCTTCAGAAGACGAAGTTTACTGTGAACTATTATCTTAACGGTGCTTTGTTTGTCCAGTCAGAGTTTTGGCAAATATTTTGGCTATCAAGAACCTTTCGTTTCTAATTAAAGACCCATTTCGTCAGAGCTCCCACTGCGACAATTCAATTCTTGGCTATTCACGCCAACTTTATGGCCAATTGGCAATTAATTATCAACTCAAAATTTCAGATTAATTATCACTAAATTAAAAACGGGTTCAGCATTAGCGAAACCCCAGCAAATAATAATACCACCATCAAAAAGACGGAATGGAACAATAACCATGGGGGGTGGGGATGGAGAGGAGCCTTAGACAAAATGTTTGAGCCCCTACGACACCCATGATTCAGCCGCTATTTATACCCGAATCTTTTTAATTGAATAGACCTGGTGGCACTCAATAAAATCGCTGACAACTCCGCTTTCAGCCAGGCTATGGCTGGCTATCCGCCCCAGACCCCCACCGTCGCAGGCGAAACAGGAAAATCTATTTGCAATTTGCATTTATTTATGAAACTTGGCTTCGGCTTCGGGTTCTGTTCTGTTTCGTTTCTGTTTCTGTTCTCGGATAAACAAGTTTAGTGTGTTCTTCTTCTGGGTTTCCAGAATTATCACCAAAGAAAAAACATAATAGCATGAAATGAAAAGGGGCACTTCTAAGACATTGTACATTGTTGTCTTTGGATTTTTCGATTGGGTGTGCGCAAAATTTGAGCACAAAACAAACAGAAATATAAAAAACAAAATTAAAAAAGAAACGCTTATTTATAATGCCATTGGACTTGTACCAACTAGCTGACGTCATCAGAATATATGTATATAGAAAAGATAACTGTTTACAGTTCAGACTGTGCTTTGGCCCCCTCCCAGTGAATGTCTGATGATTGCGAATTGAGGAGCCCAAAGAGGAGTCCGCTCGCCAAAATATGTTGATGTAGATAAATTATTTAATTAAACGAGTTTCCAGTTTCTCATTTGCCTAATATCCGTAGTCCGTTTCACGGGTCGTATGCGTTATACATCCGTGGAATTTCAGGTATTCCTAGTGCGTTGATAGCAACTGAGATAGAGATCGGACTGCTAATTGCTGGCAAATTGCAGAGCTCCTTATCAAGATACAATATACATGCATATGTATATATATATGCAAATTGGGCGATAAGATATACTGACGGTGTTCCCTGTGCCATTCGCTCCATTTCAGCTGCGAAAGTCGACTGCCCCACGTCTTCCCGTGCAGGACTCAGACATGACTGTCAAGTGCGCCCAGGTGGTGGGCCTGCTGGCCCTGCTGCCCCTGTTGCTGGACCTGGCCCACGCTTTTGACCACACACTAAAGCTGGACTATCCGGGTCCCTACTGCGGCGTGCGCAATACATGCTGCAAGGATCGGGCCGACGGCTGCTCGCTGCCCATCTCGAGTGAGTGGTGATCTGATCCCTTCCCTTCCATCTCCCAGCCAGCCAGCTGAATGTTCTTCTTTTCACAGCCACCCTGTGCTACTGTGATGAGTTCTGCGACCGGGACGACGCCGGTGACTGCTGCCCTGACTACCGCTCCTTCTGCTTTGGCGAGGCGGATCCTTTGGTCACCTGCCTGCACAACGGCGCCTATTTCAGCAAATACAACAGCACGTGGGACAACTGCAACGAGTGCCGTTGCCTTGACGGCGGTCGGGTGCAGTGCGACCAGGAGCTCTGCCTGACCGACGAGTCGATCATACACAGCATTAACACGATCTACCACCTGGGCTGGTCCGCCCGCAAGTACGACGAGTGGTGGGGCCACAAGTACAGTGAGGGTCTGCGCCTGCGTCTGGGTACCAAGGAGCCAACATACCGCGTCAAGGCCATGAGCAGGCTGACCAATCCCACCGCGGGCCTGCCCGCCGCTTTCAATGCAGTGGAAAAGTGGTCCAGCTACATCTCGGAGGTACCCGACCAGGGCTGGTGCGGCTCCTCGTGGGTTCTGTCCACCACCTCGGTGGCCAGCGATCGCTTCGCCATTCAAAGTAAGGGCAAGGAAGCTGTCCAACTGTCGGCACAGAACATCCTGTCCTGCACGCGCCGTCAGCAAGGCTGCGAGGGCGGTCACCTGGACGCCGCCTGGCGCTATCTGCACAAGAAAGGAGTCGTTGACGAGAGCTGCTATCCGTACACCCAGCACCGCGACACCTGTAAGATCCGCCACAACAGTCGCTCTCTAAAGGCCAACGGCTGCCGGCCCTCGGCCAACGTGGATCGGGACAGCTTCTACACGGTGGGCCCCGCCTACACCCTGAACAAAGAGTCTGACATCATGGCGGAGATCTACCACTCTGGCCCCGTACAGGCCACCATGCGCGTGTACAGGGACTTCTTCTCATACTCGAGCGGAGTCTATCGCCAGACGGCGGCCAATCGAGGCGCTCCCACCGGCTTCCACTCGGTCAAGCTGGTCGGCTGGGGTGAGGAGCACAACGGCGACAAGTATTGGGTGAGTGTCCATCTACACATGATCCTTCACAGCTTCTTTACGAGTGACTTAATTTCGTTGACCAGATCGCTGCCAACTCCTGGGGTCCCTGGTGGGGTGAGCGGGGATACTTCCGCATTCTGCGCGGCTCGAACGAGTGCGGCATCGAGGACTACGTGTTGGCCTCCTGGCCTTACGTCTACAACTACTACAACGTGAAGTCGGCATAGACGCCACCTCCGGAGTCCGGACCGGACCCTCTGGTCGAGCACGCACACATGTACCCCGAGTAATCTCGAGCTATGCAGAAACGAAAACAAATTTATCTCATGCTTCAAAAATTTTCCATTGCTATGGCACTCAAAGTGAATTAGGCGCTTCTGTATTTGTAAAGTTTATGCTAGAACCTAGTTACTAAAATGATTAGCTTTAAGATGCGCGAACGCACAAGTTAACTGCCCAGCCACCGCCCAAGACCTAGCCCCAGCCCTAACCACTTGTTCCCTCACCCACTAAACAGGACTCGAAGATAGGTAAGGGGCATCCATATGCAACACGAAACTGCCACATTAACCAGTCAACACCACCGCTCCATCCCCTGATACTGCCACAACAACAAGAACGTACCCCTGCCCCAAAGCAGCGCATGTGATTGACGGACGAATTGCATCAGCGAAAGAGAGTCTGTAGAATTCGAGCACGCCCATCATGTATTGTAAATGGAAGCTAAGTTAACTGATCGAGGACCCGATGGAACATGTTCGTTCAGCTTATATATTTTTAATAAACGAATTACTTTACATGTTTACCGCCGCGGAGTTTTGATTCCATCTCGACGATTTCGCATCTCCAAAGATCCACAAATCTACACTCCCGCCGAGAACATTTTGATCTTAACTTTATTTTGTAATACATATTTATACGTATCATGAACCAATTCGGTCATCGTATGTGTCTTGTATAACCTTTTCACTTTCTTTCTGCTTGTTTAACAATATTTTCACATTTTTGTTGGGGGTTGAATAGAATAGAGCAAAAATCTCTGGGGGGTTATTTACTAATGCTAACGCACTGAATAAATCAGGAGAATAATCAAGAATGTTTTCACTTTTCACTTACGATTAAAACAGAAATTAAATTGACACAAACAAAAGTCGAAGGCCCACAACTTTCCTAGCCATGGAATAATTCAATTAATTTCTCACACTTTCAATTTGGATACGCTTCCGGAGATAGTATTCTATTTGCATCTGGTACAAAAAAAGGCCTGCTCGAACGCTCTTCTGCTTGCTCCCTGCTCCTTGATGCATGCGGGTCGGGTGGGCTAGTTTAGGGTGATGCCTGCGAAGGAGACCTCGAGAGCAGCATCGCTGGACTCCATGCGACTGCGCACGTGCGCCAGCGTGTTCTTGTAGTGGCTCTCGATCTGCTTGGTTTCCTCGCTGGGCTCCAGGTTGGGCAGCTCCTCATTCACCTTGGCAATTAACTGCAAGGAAACATTTACATTAGACCCCTGGGGTTTTGCTTTTCCGAGTGCGCACTAATCACCTGATTCAGCATGGCTACGGTGATGAGTGAATTGCCGCGCTCAAAGTAGAAGAGATAGTGATTCAGCAGTTCTACATACAGCTGCACTTGCACTCCCGTGTCCAGGCACTGCGAGGCAATGCGAGCGCCCTTCTTCAGGCAGTCCAGAGTGCGCTTCTCGTCCCGCATCTCCTCGCCGTTTTGCCTACCGATGCAACATGACAGTTTAGCTATAATACCAACTAAAGGAACATCAAAGAGTATCATACTTTCCGCTCCAGAAGAGTGCTGCACAGGCCACCACACCGCGGCACTGATCCGGCTTTTTCAGCAGCTTGGACGCCGCCAGAGCACAATTCGTACGGAGGGGTTCGGCGTTCTCCTCGCCGAAGCAGGACATCTGCTCGAACGTGGACATGATGAGTGTTATGGCAGCCAGCTGAGCCTTCGAATCGGATATTTCATCTTCGTAGAGGGAGAATGCCTGCGTCATGAACTCGTAGGCTACAGTCTCGTGGTTCGTGTAGCGGATCTCTCCAATGACCAGAGCCCCTTGCAGATATAGACGGAGGGCCAGATCGGCCAGATCCGCCTTGGCCAGGGCGCTGATTGTGCTGTGGCAGTACTGCACGATCTTCTGGCACTTTTTGTCCCAGTTCTCATCCTGTTCGGCGATCGCCTTGTATTTGAAGGCCAGCTGGTAGGCAGCAAATACGAGCGGAGGCAGAACATGCTTCAGCCGCTGGCCGCCCCCATTCCCCAGATGCTTTCGAGCTGTTTGCAACATTTTGTATTGCATGTCCGGCTCATCAGAGCGCATCAGGTGAATGAAGCTGAAGCAAGAACGGATCATTAATTAAAGGTGAAATTACAACGCATAGCGATATCTACTTACCGCGCTACGACACCTTGCTCTTCCGCAAACTCTTCGGCATCTGTGCTGCTGGCTCCAGCTACCGCCAAAATGTCCTTACTCGCATCATCATCTTTAATCAGCGGCGTGATAATGGTCAAGAGGCTGTCCGCCTGATCGGCCGTCGGCACCTGAGTCTCGTTCTCTAGAATGTTCATTACCAGATACAGCGCCAGCGATTTGCGTGAAGTGTAGTCGAACTTTTCGAGCAGTGGACAAAAGTTGTGCAACTGGATGATGGTCAGGGCATTATTGTAGAAGTCAATGCAGATGCGCAGCAGGCGAGACAGTTCCTGGTTCACGGACAAAAGGTGCGAGATGCTGCAAAAGTGTACAAGTTTAGTTCAGGGTCTTTACATTTCTTATCAGCTCGAGGATCCCTTACTTGTTCATGTTCATTCGTTGCAGTATTTGTGCGGTTGTGCCCAGCACTTTGTCCACGTAGTCGATGCGATCCGGATACACTTTCTGGGCCAAACTCAGCAGAGCCACCTGCAGCGAAATGGTGTCCTCCAGTGGCATGTCATGGCGCATCTGCACAATGTTGGCCACCTGAACGCTAAAGACCTCAAAGAGCTCCACTTCCGCGGGAATGATGGCATCGATGCCATTGCCGCTGGTCTACAGCATAATAAATGTTAGTAAATGCTAGATTTTGGGGCATAGCATCGATAGAGGATATTACCTTGCCACTCCTCTGGTTGTAGGCAGCTAGACGCTCAATCAACGATATAATAATATTCTTGACGTTCACACCCGTTTCCAGCTGGGCGCAGGACTTGAGGAATGGGTCCAGTGTCTGCAGATGGAACTCATCGGGAAACACTTGGATGATGCACTCCATGAGATACTCCTGGGCAATGGCATCCCGACAGCTAACAACCTGCTCTAAGATTCCGGGTAGAATGAGCCGCTGGTACGTCTCCAGGGTGGCCGACTCCAGCTGCGAGAGGCGCACTAGGTTTGTGCCCACCAGTATCTTGAGCTCCTCGCGCTCTTTTTCCCGCCTAGTCTTCTCGCTGGAGTGTCCCTGGTGCTGCATGCGCACCCACAGCTTGTTCATCTCTGCAAAGTTCGTCAGCACAAAGTCAATGGCATCGTAGACATTGCCCTCGTGCTCGTTTTCTGCGACCATCACATCGGGCAGAATGTTGCGGGTGCACTGCAGCAAATAGTTGCGGAGGAAAAGCCCCCTCAACGGATGCTGCACTCCGCGACACATCTCCACCAGATCCTTGAGTATGCTGCGCTTGAGCGTCGAGTCGTTTTTTATGTACACAATGCCCACTGTGATCAGCAAATACAGTCGGGGCACTATGGTGTGCGAGTACTGCACCAGCTCGTACAGATCCGTCTTTTTGTCGCTCTTTTCGCTCAGGTACAATTCCAGATGGTTCAGCTCATTGGTGACGGCCATGTCTGGGGAGGAAACAAGCATTACAATAAAGAAACTTTCATACGTCACGATATTGAGTACTCACATAGCTCGTAATAGCTTTTCGGGGACAGCAGGGAGGTGCGTAGCTCACTCAGCATGGTGCTCGCACACTTGAGCGAATCCAGCATGCGCTCCTTGTCCAGGAAGTGGTTCATCTGGAAGGCCTGCTTGCGGGCTGCCCCGACGGCCTCGGCGAGCAGCTTCTCCTGGTCATCCAAACCATTGGGCATGGTCTGAAACGAGACATAGAAGGTGGAGTCGGTTCTATTAGTCCCTGGGGTTTGCCTCGCTCTCGATTTGGTAACGTGCAAATACATGACGGCGGGTTACAATGAGATCGAGAACACACAAATGCTTTAACAGTATACAGCTTGAGATAAGCCTTCTTTATAAAACATATCTACGGAAGTTTGGGCAGAGCGGAGCCAGGCCAGAGGACACAATGAATCGATGATAAGACAGACTCAGCCACACATAAACATTAAGCAGAGTTTTTTGAATGAACATGACACATTGAGCATGCAAGTGCACACGTATATACGTCTGTACATTGCTATGTACGACTGCGGTCCACAATTTAGCGAATGGGGTTTAATTAGTGGTTGGAGTGAGTGTGAGTTATTTACCCTATTCTGAGCAGGATTGGGCGCTTGGCCGCTGTACGAGGATGAGCTCCAGGGGTACATAGTGGTTATGATGAGTGTTTGTTGGTTGGGTTGGGGGCGTAGTTTTTGCTCCAGGTACTCTCGACTTGACGTCGACAGAGGCGCAGTCAGCGGTTTGATTTTAGCCAATTTTCACTTGCTTTTCTGGTTTCTCTTGGCCAATTCTCGCTTGCCGGCTTCTGGCGGCTACAATGCGGGGTGGAGCGCACTTACCATTACTGCAGCGTCAGGTGCGAATCGAAGATGGGGGAGTTATTTAATTAAATTTATTTACTTTTTTTTAGGATGATATTGATAAACAGTGTGACCGCAGGTTTATATAACCCTCAGAAATATACCAAAATATACCGAAATATACCTAACGAACTTAGCTCACGTAAGCCCCTTTTATTTAAACACACTGGTCTACAACAGGTTGAACGTTCTCTGTCCATGATAAAACATCATCAGAAATCGGCGGTAATTTTAAAAATAACAATATTAGAGCCGACATCCTTAATTTTATGAGTTTCTAAATATAAAATGAATATGTGCGCCAAATTAAATTATATAATAATATGGCAGCTCCATGGCACAGATGACATATCTTTTCCGCCAGACGTCTCTGGCTGCCATGTGGCAGAAATAATTTAAATTTCGATTTTAATAACTTATTTTTCGAAACAATTGAAAAATATTGTACAATTTGATTGAATTCAGAAATCACATCCTTGTCGGTCATTCACTTTCAAGCTATTTTTCGTTGGCGCGCAGCAGTCGATAGTATCGATAGCCGTTTCTTGGCCAACACCACTCATACAGTATAGTGGTTAGTGGCAACACTCAGCATACCCTACGGAAAATGATATTATAGAACTGAGGAATGGTTTGTCGTCTTATACGTCGAGACAGAGAATCGGTATCGAAGATTGAGACATATATATTTGGAAAGGCAAATGCATGAAATACACACTTACACTGCAATCCATACCCAGATACATTTTATACGTTGTGTTCTTTATTGTCTTAACATTGTTGGTGGTCCTAGCTAGATATTAATATTAAGCCGAATAAAGATTTTCGTTCCTATTGTCGAGCAATGGGTATTAAAACACATTCAACGAACCAACTAGTTACTATTACTATTAGTATTAATTACCGCGGTTTAACTCCAGTTGTTATCCAGTTTAAATAAAAGGGGTTTCAGTGGGCTAAGTTCGTTTTTCATCGGTAGAACGGTATATTTTGAAATTTGTGACGTCTATTTCGGTATATTTCTGAGGGTC